TTTAGTTTTCCTTTCATTCACTTAAGAAGTTAATATTCTTCAAACTAACTCGGGAAACTTCTGTCTCTCTAAAAATTTATCTAGTATGAATTATAGAACAAAGTTTATTAGAAGGTAGACTCAAAGTGGCTAGCGCATGTTAGAAAGAGGAATTGGGCCCATGTATTGGAGAATAGCCAGTTCACTTCTAGAGTAGAGAGTAGAGGAGCACAAGCAATGGAAAATAGCAGTTCATTTTTAAGATTGAAATGCTCCAGCTTTCTCAAACCAAATTTAGGATTCTCCAGAAGGGTTATTATTTATTTAAAGATACATGACTTCATAGAGAACATAAAATCTGTTTGCTTTTAACTTTTTTAACCTTTATGGTAGAAAAGGCAAAGCAATTGTGTTGAAAAATGCACAACGATAGGAGTTCTGTTCAATGGAAGACATCATGCATAGCAATGGCTGTGCATTAGGGTATCTTTATAGGGAAGATTCGTAAGAAACAGTGCCAAGTATTTCCTGGCAAAAACATATTTTCACCCCACTCCTCTAGGTCATTGTTACACAGTCTTTGCGTAACTATTACCAAATAGATAAGACTGAAGAGAATCTTGCATTGTGTACATGCAAGATGCCTTTTTACTGAAAGGAAAGTAATTATCTACTGTAGAATTTTTTTAATGTCTTTTTCCTGATAAGATCATTTTAGTGTTGATAGTGTCCATATCTAGACAATTTCTGCTTATATATCCCCAAAGTCTGATAATTTGTGAGCTGTATTGTTTATGTTTAGAACTCTAATAAGCAATATGAATCCCATCTGTGTGTTTTTTATATTGTTTAAAGGAACCATCAGTATTACTACGATCTCATTCAAGCTTCCAACAAAATAGAGCAAGAAATGAAAAATCACAAAAACCAGCAAAATGTCACTAAATTTGATGTGTCCTTTAAATTCACAGATATTCATCAATATGTCCAACAATATTCCACAAAGTTTGTGCACTGTCTGCTCTCTCCCATAGTGTGGATATTGTTGTTGTTTGTTACGTGCTGCCAAGTTGGAACTGACTGATGGCTGGCCGTCTAGCAGGTTGTTTAATGCAGTAAATTTCACAGGAGTTTACTCATCATTCTTCCACAGAACAGCTGGTTGATTTGAACCACTCACCTTTAAGCTGGCAATTTGACTCTCTATCCAGTAGGCCATAAGAGATCCCTAGTGAAAGCAGATGGATATATAAGCAATAGACTATGTTTATGATCTGTGAGGAGTACCTATATGGTACAAACAATTTTAAAAAAAAAGTCCTCCTTTAACCAAAAGTACAGTGGTTGGAGTCCAGTCCATCCAGAGGCAGCTAGAAAGAAAAGCCTGGTGACCTACTTTTGAGTTTATGGGTCATCCTAAATCAGAATCCACTCTACAGTAACATTCACTCAGTTAATGAAGTGCTCTGTTTGGTAGTTAACAGAAGTCCCAATCAGCTTAAAAGGCAAGAGAGGCACTAATAAGTTTCCAGGACAACAGGTAGAAGGGAAGGTGCTGAGAGGGGATGGTTCAGAATGATATCATAATATATACAAGGGCTCAGGTATGTACCAGAGGATGATTCATTTCAGGAAATTGTAACCATTCAGTATTCAAGGAGTTCAAATTTTACCCTACATATATCTAGATAACTCACAAATAATTCTAAAGAAAAGTGTAAATTATATGATTGATTGCAAAATCTTTGTGTTCACCTTCAGCAACTCAGACTCACCTTTTTTTGTGCTCTTGTGTTTTTGCTGTCTGTTCGTGAGGTACAGAAAAGGGCTTCTTTTGGGGGACCTATCTATCTATGTAGGTCAAAATCTCTTTCATGTAGCTCTTGTAAGAGGCCTAAGTTCAATTCCCAGGCAAGGCCCCTGCAATGCAGTCACCCTTCTCTGAGTGAAGCCTCAAATGTCTTGATAATGCTTAACAGGTTTCAGCATTATGATGAACAATTTCTAAAACTCATCCAGTAGAAACCCTACAGATCACAGATCTCATTATATCTAAGGTCATTGGGAAGCTGGAGCCTACTTGACAGTAGCTAATAACACCAGTGCTCCATTACCTGGTTAATGAGTTAAATCAGCTATTTCAGGATAAGACACTAGGGGAGGGGAGGAAAAGATAGCTTCACAGAAGACATAGAGAACATACAGACTTGAACTCTTAGTTTTAAACTTGAGAAATTCCTTTCTGCCATGAGGAAGATAAGTATTTTAAGCAATGATTGCTTTTCTTTGTAATTTTTTTCTTTTATTTCCCTAAAAATGAGTACTTAAAAACAGGGCTCAGTAAGTTCTACACAATCAAGCTCACATTTAGGAAAGCAAGTAAGTAAACTGTCAAAAAGTCAACAGTTAGCTAATTGCTCTGGGTAATGCAATGAAGTTATGGCAGTAGGCTAATGAGAAAAGATTTGGTTTGCCCAAGCTTTCTGAAGTAACTTCTGCATCCAGTGGGAGAAACTGCCAGTAAAGGAAGAAAGGCAATTTACATATCAGAGCAAGGCTAATCTGCCCCTGTCTGAGTCACAGCCTGCCTACTTGAGACATCCTGGGAAATCCCTTTTTGGAAGAGAAGAAAAGTTAAAATTGCAGTTGCTGTGCTTATAATCTTATTCTGTGTAGTTCACCTAGTCCTTTCTCTTGAATTTGGATGAAAAATCATACTCTTGCTTTCTACAATAAGTTAACTTTCTCTTTTAAAATTTTTGTATATTTTGTCTCAGCCTAAAGGACACTGTAAGAAACTTTTCCCCATTTTCTCTTTTTTCTACTTTCCAAGACTCCAGAACAAACATCTTTCCTGCCACATTTTACACAGAGCACAACTAGAATGAATGGTGCAGAAAGGTCTACGGAGCACTCAGAGGTAAGAGCAAATTTCTTGGGGATGAGCTGACTGTACATAACATGGATAGCATTAACAGCTAATTTTGTAATGAACAATAAGGGTAGAAAATGACTAGTTAGCATTGTTTAGGTAAGAGCTGCTCTACATTCTTGAGAAGTGTTATTTAATGAAGAAAACATATGGGTGAGAACTGCATTCCCTTTAACATGTGCTACTTCTTTCTAAAAAGAGCCTAAATCCTCTCTAAATTCCTTACTGGTCCTAAATGCTATGAGTTCCATATTTTGTTCTAAAAGTATTGTATTGAAAAAAATTATATTGGGATAGTCAGAGATAGACCATGTTAGATTGGAGAAAGAAATGAAGACCCTCAACCAGGTAGAATGACATAGTAACTGCAGGAAAGGACTCAAGTATATCAGAGATGATGAGGATGAAACAAGATAGGACAAAATTCCAAACTCTTGTTCATGGGGTCACCCAACTCAACAGTACATAACAGCAACAAAGAGCAATAGAGTAGCTACAGTAAAATAACCATAAGTTAGGTGGACATGTAACTAGGGGAGGCTATTCCCTGCAAAGGGGCATTATTCTTGGAAAAATGGAGGATCCATGAAAGAGAAGACCACCTCCAGTTAGATGGACTGACACTGTGACTTCAGCAGTGGCCTCTAGTGTCTCAGAGGTGACGAGGACCGCACAGGATGGGGCAGGTTTCAGGTTAGCTCTTCATAGGGTTATTATGAGTGGCGTTCGACTCATCGAAACCTAACAACAACAAGATTAGGAATGGAATAGATGCCTAAGAATTGAATGAGTAAATTAAAATGTTTTCTTATAGTCTGTTAGAGATGACTGAAGAATTCTGAGAAACTAAGTAAAACTCACTGGTTCAGTTAACTATTTAATACTTGAATTTGAACATCTTGAAGGTAGTTGTGGGTGATAAAGTGAACTCAGGGGGGAAAATGCCTAAACACTTTTTACATAGATTACACTTTTTAAGGAATAACTATGCTGTAAACATGTCCATAGAGCTGATAGTGAAAAATCTTCATATTTATTGCAATGTGATTAATTTATTATAATGTAAATAATTTCCTTATTACATTAG